TATTTCCTAATTTCCCTGGTGATTTCATTTTTGACTCGTTGGTTATTTAGGATGTTGGTTAATTTTTACATATTTGTGAATTTCTCAAATATTCTTCTGTTGTTGGTTTTTAATTTCATCCCATTGGTTGCAGAACATATTTTGTATGACTTTTAGTCCTTTTTAATTTATTGAGACTTATTTTATGGCCTAAGGTCTGGTCTAGCCTTGAGAATGTTCCATATGCTCTTGAGAAGAATGTGCTGCTGGGTGGAGTGTTCTACCAAGGTCTGTTATGATAGGTGTTGTTGGTTTATAGTGCTGCTCAAATCTTCCACTTCCTTGTCAGTCTTCTGACTTGTCGTTCTACCCATTATTGGAAATGGGGTAAGTCTCCAACTGTTACTGTTAAATTGTCTTTCTCCTATAAATTCTGTCAGGTTTTGCTTTATGTATTTTAGGCCTCCATTGTTAGATGCATAAATGTATATAATCATTGTATCTTTCTAGTAAATAGGCCATCTTATCATCATAAATGTCCTTCTTTGTTTTAGTAAAAGTTTTTATCTTAAAGTCTATTTTTTTTAATGTTGGTATAGTCACTGCACAATCTAAACACCAGAGATCTACACACTGGAGACCATCTAAAATATGTCTCTTGTAGACAGCAAATAGTTGGATTATTTTTTTATACATTCTTCCATCTCTGTCTTTTGATTGGGGTGTTTAATCCACTTACATAGTACAGTTACCTATAAGGTAGGGTTTATGTCTGTCATTTTTGCTATTTCTTTTTTTAATATCTTACAACTATGTTGTTTTATTCTTCCATTACTGACTTTAGTGTTCAATAGATATTTTCTATTGTATCTTTTTAAAACTCCTTTGTTGTTTCTTTTACTATATTTTAAAAATTTGTTCTCTTAGTGGTTACCCTGGGGAATACAATTAGCATCTTAACTTACAATGGTCTATTTGGGGCCAGGTGCAGTGGCTCATATCTATAATCCTAACACTTTGGGAGGCTGAGGTGGGAGGACTGCTTGAGCCCAGGAGTTTGAGACAAGCCTGAGCAATAGCAAGACCCTGGCTCTACAAAAAAATTTTAAAAATAGCCAGATGTAGTGGCACACACCTGTAGTTCCAGCTACGTGGGTGGCAGAGGCAGAAGAATCACTTGGGCCCAGGAGTTGGAGGCTGCAGTGAGCTATGGTGACACCACTGCACTCTACCCAGGGCAACAGAGCGAGACTCTGTCTCAAGAAAAAACAAAAATAAAAAACAAAAAACTATTTTGGATTCATATACTTAATTTCAATAGTGGTCATCAATAGTTGCTCCGGTACACCTTAATTCTCTCCTCACTCCTTTGTACTATTATCACCATACAAATTATATCTCTATATAAGCCCATCAACACAGTTTTATAATTATTGCTTCTGCTTTGTCTTTTTTTGAGACAGAGTCTCGCTTTGTTGCCCAGGCTAGAGTGAGTGCCATGGCATCAGCCTAGCTCACAGCAACCTCAAACTCCTGGGCTCAAGCAATCCTCCTGCCTCAGCCTCCCGAGTAGCTGGGACTATAGGCATGCGCCACCATGCCCGACTAATTTTATATATATATATATTGTATTTATAGTAGAGACGGGGTCTCGCTCTTGCTCAGGCTGGTTTCGAACTCCTGACCTCGAGCAATCCGCCCACCTTGGCCTTTCGAACTCCTGACCTCGAGCAATCCACCCGCCTTGGCCTCCCAGAGTGCTAGGATTACAGGTGTGAGCCACCACGCCTGGCCTTCTGCTTTGTCTTTTAAAACAGAAGAAAAGATTTATAAACAAAACTGTCTACATTGTCCTTCATAATATCTATGTAGTTACCTTTACCAGGGCTTTTTAACTATTCTTACCTGTTTGGCCAATTTTTCAGTTGAATGTTAGAATCATTTGCTTAAGCTCCCCATTGGAAATCAGAATGTTATTTTATAAACAGACCATCTTAGAACATTCAGGCCTCCCATTCTCTTCTACTTTTATACTGCTCAGCAAACTTTCTGAATTTTTTCATGTAGATTCCATTGTATTTTCCTTAGACATTTTAAATTTTCTGTTGTGGTTCTGAACTGGGCTTACTGTGCCATGTTATTTTAATATGAAAAATTGCATCAGTATTTTCTGGAGTGAAAGAAAAACATTTATGTACCTACAGTTAATGGAGTCAGGAAGGCTCACTCTGTAGGCGAGAGGTTTGTTATTTTCTTTTTCCTTTGAAGCAACAGAGTATCTGTTCAGGTTACATCTTAAGCAGAACCTCAATTCATAAAAAACAAAAGCAGAGCTGTGTGGCTGAAGAAAAGGTTGAGGAGCGGCCCAAACCCTGCATGCTCGGCCTCCTGCTGCTTCTTACCGCGGCCCTGAGGTGATTTTCCAGCAACTGGACGCTTGGTCAACTGTCCTACGTCGGGCCCGTCCGTGGGCTCCTTAGCATGAGCTCTCTTGCTTTTCAACACTGCGTCCTACTAGGTGTTTTTCCATTTCTTTTCAATGACCACTAATACATCGAGTCTCAGTGACATCCTGCCTTGTCAACCTAGACAACCTGTCTCTGTCTCCTAAGTCAACAGAACGGGACACTGAACGACGGGACACTTGACGATGGTAGGTTCAAGAAAGAAGATAGGATTTCTGTGATACTGTCACTATCCCATCTGTGACATAATAAAAAATATATATTTGGTCTTTGTCCCCAGTGCCTGGCATAGAGCTCCTAAGACCCTTGGAGTAATCTGAGTGACAGGGGTGCTATGTGTATCTTTTATTCTATATTTCGTCTTTGACCTAGTTCTGGACACAGAGCTCCTAAATTTTGGGAATTTCCTGGGTGACAGGAGCATCTTTTTTTTTTTTTCCAAAAGTCAATAGCATTTTTATTCACCAGCCAAAAAATATGTAATTTTAAAAGAAGACAACTTTTATATTGGCATAAAAAACTATATTGTACTGAGAAATAAATCTATAAAAGTTATAAAAGATTTTAAGGAGAACATTATTATTGAATGACATAAAAGAAGAATATCCTCCATAAACAGTATTCAACTAATTGTCATTCTTTAACCCTTTCCACACGCCATTTTTTCTTCTTCATAGTACTTATGAACTCCATAGGAGCATCTTTTGTTCTAACGAGGTGGGCTTGTTCTTGGTGGGCTCCTGGATGGGGGCTGGTCACCAGAAAGACCAAGCCATGAGTGCAAGAGCTTGGAGCTTGCGGTTCCCAACCCCAGCTTCTAGGAAGGGCAGAGACAGGCTGGAGACCTGCTGTGCCTACGTGATGAAGGTTCTGTAAAAAACGCTCAACTATGAGGTCAGAGCACTTCCAGGTTGGTGAATTTATCAGCGTGCTGGGAGGATGGCACACCCAACTCTATGGAGACAGAGGCTCCTGTGTTCAGGATCCTTCTAGACCTGGCCCTGTGTATCTCTTCATCTGGGTGCTCAGTTGTATCCTTTAAAATATCCTTTGTAGTGAATCAGCAGCAGTAAGTAAACTGTTTGCCTGGGTTCCATGAGCCACTCTAGCAAATGATCAAACCCAGAACAAGGTCGTGAGAACCCTCGATTTAAAGCCGAGTCAGACAGAGCTGTGGGTGAGCTGGGTACCTGCTACCTGCGGCTGGTGTGTGAAGTGGGAGGCAGTCTTGTGGGACCGAGCTCCTCACCGGTGGAGTGTGCAAGAACTCAAGTCAGTGTGAGAACTGAACTGAGCTGTAGGACACCCAGCCAGTGTTACAGAGCTGGTCTATATAGGGAAAAACCCCACACATCTGGGGTTAGAAGTGACATACTGAGAGTGGTGTGAGTACAGAGAGAATAACAGTTGGTTTTTCCAGTATTCATTAAACAACAGACGTGGTTTGACTCTACCACTTAGAAATAAATGTGATGTCTATTTTTCAGCTAAATATGCAGGTAGATTGCAGGTAGATTACATTATCTATGAATTTTACTTCAGCACAGAATTGAGGGTATTACAAAATAGCTGATATGTAAGGAGAAGTGGGTCTGATAGGGCTGAGAACTATCAGACTACAACCGTCTTTAAAATAAGCACTTAGAAGAAAATTTGAGCTCCAAGTCTTACAAAAGACTAATTTATTAATTCAAATTTTTAGACAAAAGAATTTTAAAATAATTTGGACAACTTGAAAAAATTAAGGATTTATAATATTTTCAATTTGAAAAACTTTGAACCTTAAAGAACAGATTGTATAAAGCAGCAAGGCCTACAAGAGTGAAAAAAGATGGAGACCTGCTGTATGGGTAGTAATAAGAGGCCCAAACACGACCTTCCAACCAAAAAGCAAACGAGACTCCAAAGTGTGTTTGTGAGACTAACTTACTCACTGCCATCATCCGGCCATTCCTCTTTACAGAAGAGAGCGTTTACTCTGATCCAGCCCATACGTTACCTTCTGGGTTAACTTATATGGGAATGGGGTGAGATCTAGTACAGTTTTATTAAATAGATCCAATGAGATTTCATAAAGGGCTGGGAATAAGCAAAAATCTAAAGTAATCTATGCAGTAGTTAAAAATAATTGAGAATTTTGACAAATTATTTTCAGGAGGTGTTATCTTAATATATAAGAAAGGGATCAAGTTCTTAATCTCCGTGGGCGCAGACACACTGAGCTCAGGGCAGTACAATTCAATGCTCAGTGGCTACTCCACGGAAAGCCAAGGGCCCTGAAAGGCCACAAGGCCTGGGTGTTCATTCCTTATATAACAGGAACAGCATTCTAGCAAGCCTTACTAATTGCAATACAAAACTTTGAGTTATATTCTCATAATGATCGTTTTCTTCCCCCATAAAAACAATTCTCCTCTCAGAAGGAAAAGCAGGAGAGGGACTGAGTTCTATAACAGAGGGTCGGGCTGTGTCCCAAGCATTCTGAGTGTGGATGCTGTCTCTGTGTCTCCATGTTTTGCCTTCCAGTCTCCTTTATATGAAATATAAGTTGTGTGATTTGTCCTTGGGAAGACTGCAGTAGAGTCCAAGAACCTTCTGAGGCCATCCTGTTTTTGTCCTTTCATATCCTGAAGACAGATAATCTCAACATCCAGAAATATCCTTTGCTCTGTTCTTCCTCTGATATCTTGTGTCCTTGGGATCAAAGCCTCTTTCATTGGCACCAAATAGCGCCCAGTGAGGAGTTTTGGCCACGTAATCTTTTGCGCTAAAAGTTTTTGATCCGCCGCTATCTTCGTACTCCTGGATGAGCTCCTGAAAGCGGTTGTAATCGATCCACGTCCACCATTCTCCATCGATCTTAAACTGCAAAGACAAAAAAAGCTGTCAAATCGGAAGTCAAAACGTCCATAGAAAAAATATAAAATAATTATTTTTTTAAAAAATCACAGATTAGCCTGATCTTTTCTCCCTATCATATTACAGAAACTCTTTCATGTTCCAGATATGGTTTCCTATCAAAGCCATCTGCACCACAGTCAACAGGAGCGCCTTTGTCCTTGGGACTGCCACCCTGCTGAACCTGGGGACAAGTGGAGTCTACTTTGCACGACACCACTGACAGAGGGTCAGATGTTCTGATGTGACCATGTGTTAATGGTCAGGTTAATTCTAATTCCTGCTGCTGCTGCTTTTTAATCTGTTACGAATTTTTATGGTTATATTAGCAGCACCTGGTGGAGCCCCTTTCGTTACTAAACTGCTTGAGTTATTAGTGAGGATTTAATCAATGACTTCTAATTCCGAACTGGTAACTAAATGACTCAAACTAACCTTTTTAGCCTAACATGGATACAATATCTCATTAGTGGAAAGCCTCGTTAAGAATTTCAATTCAATCAAAGAGAATAATCCAATTTGTACTCTGTTAAGAAAATTGCTTCTCAAAAGTCACTGTGGAATAATGACCTGGAATGAAGAAAACAGAAGGGAAGTTGAGGAGGCGCTAAAGAAAATGCTAATTGAACTGTGAAGGCCTTTAGAGCATCTGTTTGGTTGTTTGGCATGCATTTGTGTAAATGTATTAACTAATATGTTGACGTAGTTGACTTATAAACAGACAAGTATTTCTGTCATGCCACTGTGCTTAAAAAAATCCCTGAGTATCTCTATGAACCAAGTTAAGTAACAATTCCCTGTTCTAGCTGAAAAAAATATTGAAAATGTATAGGCTCCTGGACTTAGAATATTGTAATGTGCTGAATTTAAATGACATCTGATTTTTTTTTTACCCAACAGCTAAGAGGTCTCTAGAGGGAGGGAAATGCCAAATAAATGGAAAAGTTTAATTAGTCTATCTATGAATTATGAGTTTTCTTCTAATTAGACCGTTCTTTGAAATAGTGCCTCAAGGGCTCTATGAACTCTACAACCCTAGATGTAAAATTTATTTCTTTCTATCTTCCCTGCCAAGATAGACTGTCCCTGAATTGCTCCCTATTACTGTGGAAGAAATCACTGTCATTCCCAGGCACTGAACCTCAAAATTGCAGAGGCAAAGGTGACCTCCTTTGCCCTGGCCCCTTGCATCCAAAAGATGGCCAGACCCCACTGGTGCTTCCTGAGCTGCACTTCTGCCACCAGTGGCCTACGTGGCCCTAACACAGGCCCTCATTCAGGGACTAGGTGACAGTCTTTCAACTGATTAATCTTCTGACTTCTACAGACTGCCTGAGCTTACGCCGGCAGCAGCAGCAGAGGTTCCCATTATCTAGAAGAGAAACTCTAAACATGGAATCTGCATCGGACCCTTCCTGAGCTGTCCCCTGCTCATGTGACTCCCATGCTGCTCCCTCTGTCTAACGAACCATAGATTATGCCTCGGGCAGGTCTCCCGCGTCCTTTGCTCTGCGAAGTCTTCCCGAATCCCTTTGGGCTGTGACAATTCCCCTCCACAGGACTCGCTGCACCTGAACTTGCCCGACAGCAACACACTGCGGTGGCCTCTGCAGGTACCTCTCGCTCCACCCCACACCTGCACTGCTGGCTCTCTGAACAGATCGCACTTAACAATTTCTGCTGTCTCTTAGGATGTGCAAGGGCCTAGCCCCTTCTTTCCTACCTCTTAACAAAGCTTTAACGAATTAAAATTCCACCTGTTCTGCTGACATCTTGAGACATAAGGAGAATTCGCTGCTACTGGCTCCATAGACTAGAACGGACTGCTTCACAGTGCATTCATCCCAGATGGCACGACACACTCAACAGGATGGGGGTGACTTCCTAACTAGCACAGGGGTAGACCTGGCATTAACATGTATGTCATTAAAATGAGGCCAATACTGATGCCATTTATTCCTTCCTCCGATCAACATTTATGGAGTGCCAACTATGAACTTGGCCTAGTCATAGACATTAAAAAAATAATTATAATACAACATGGTATGTACAGCACGTGAGGTTGTACACCTCAGGGGTATAGAGAAAGATGTGACAAATCACGGCCCAAGCGTGGCCCTGTAGGATGGTCTTCTTGGGGCTCCCTGCTTTGCTTGCTGAGAGAAACAGATGACCATATTCTTTTCTTCCCTATTTCCCCCCTTTGGGGTCTAGATCTGAAGTTTGAAACCTCTGGTCCATAATCCTGATCTTCCTTCTCTCTCAGACTCTACCAATAATGATTTACCATGGATATTCTAAGAGGGACTAAAGGATTAGTGTGGACCAGAGTAATAAACTTAAATGTTTTTTTTTAACCACAACCTACAGTATACATTTTATATCTCAAACTAGTACATGCACAACACAACACAACACAACACAACACACACACACACACACACACTTACAAACCTGTAGGCAATGCATTTCATTTAAGCACACTGCTGGCTGTAAGCCATTAAATTGATTTCCTAACTCCTAATGCCAATAGAAAACTTCTATACTAGAAGAACTATCTCTTCTGACTCTAAAACTCTACTCTGGTTTAAAACAGAGGAAAGCAGTTGCACAGATATGGCAAGTGTAAGCTAAAGTCTGACAACTGACCACTCTGATTCCTAATGTCTAAGAAAATGAGCTGGAAGACCAAAGATGTAGATGTGCAGAAAGCAGGAGTATTAGCTCAGCTGCCATAACGAAATACCACACACCGAGTGCCTCAGACAACAGAAATTTATTTTCTCACAGTTCTGGAGTCTAGAATTCCAAGATCAAGGTTCTGGCCAATTCAGTTTTTAGTGAGGGCTCTCTTCTTGGCTTGCAGATGGTTGGCATCTTGCTATGCCCCACGTGGCCTTTTGTTGGTGTGCACGTGGGAAGTTAGTAGTGGGTGAGCTCTCTGATGTCTCTGCTTATAAAAACACTAACCCTATCAGATCGGAGCCCCACCCTGATGACCTCATTTAATCTTAAATACTTCCTTAGATACCCCATCTCCAGATATAACCACACTGGGGGCTAGTACCTCAACATAGGAATTGGGGGGGGACACAAACACCCAGTGCAGAACAGTAAGGTACTCGAAAATTAACGTTGAGCCATCAGACCCAAAAGACAAAACTGATATATGCCCCTTCAGTGTCTGAGACTAATCACATTGAATAATAATAGCTCAGAAAAAGTCAAACTGCTTCATGCAAAAGGCAGAAGCTGAAAGAGCAAAATTTGGTATGACTGACAGACAAATAGTGCTAAATGACAGTTGCATCAACAGAGGAATGAAACCCTAAATCATAAAATCTGAGGTTAAGTATTCTGAGACACGAGGTCACCGTGTTTCAAGAATTCTTCAAATCCAATAGTAAGGAAAGAAATAAATCTACTGAGTTACAAATAGACTCAAAGGTCAAAGATGATCTCAAAAACACACCATAAGCCCAATAAGGTACAGCCTTGACCAAATAAAACCAGGCGGCTAAGGCTCTGTGGCCTTGTTGGCCAGATGAGCCAGTATGGGCTCCTGCTACCTGCTGCGCAAAGGGCCTTCTCATTGTGTTCTCTTATTTCACACAAGAAAATTTCACTAAACAGAATAATGACAACATAGGTGCTTATGTAAATGTTTTAAGAGATGCTGGCTGGCCATGGTGGCTCATGTTTATAATCCCAGCATTTTGGAAGGCCAATTTGGGAGGCTTGCTTGAGGCCAGGAGTTCGAGATTAGCCTGCACAACATAGCAAGACCTCATCTCTATGAAAAATAAATTTCAAAAACTAGCCAGGCGTGGTGGCAAATGTCTATAGTCCTAGCTACTTGGGAGGCTGATCCAGGAAGATAGCTTGAGCCTGGGAAATGGAGGCTGCAGTGAGCTATGACTACACCACTGTACTCCAGTCTGGGTGACAGAGTGAGACACCGTATCTTAAAAAAAAAAAAAAAAGATGGCAGATTAAACACATGGATTTACTTTTACTTCCTCTTGCAAACCCATTAAAATGACAGAGCATTTAAAAAAGATATATATATAATATAAAAATAAAGAGATCAGGAGAGGAGAAAAGAGCATCAAAGTTTTAAAGCTGAAAAGATGACAGATTAGCAAACTGGTTTAGTGGGCCCAAGAGAGCTGAATCCTGAGCTAGCAAACGGAGAAATCCAGGATTCAGCCCGATTTATGCTTCAGAATTCCTCAAAGGCTCAGAAACTGGTTGCTCCGGTCACCCCCAGAAGTGGGGACTGAGGAGGCACCAAACCTACTTCTCCTAAAAAATCCAAAGGCAGGTTCACATTCCGTTAAGAAATGGTTGGAATCTCAAGTTCTTGACCCTGTGCATATACACACAGCTGAGCACCTGCCTGCCTTACACCCAACAGAAGACTGGAGGTTTATTTTCAGAAGACAATATAAGGGAGGATCTATGGTCTATGGCTGCAGTCCCCAAGCCCGCCCACAGACCAGTGCAGGTCCGAGGCCTGTTGGGAGTCGGGCCCTGCAGCAGGAGGTGGGCGGCAGCCATCTGTGTTTGCCATGGCCTCCCCATGTTCATATCACTGCCTGAGCTCCACCTCCTGTCAGACCACCGCCGCACTAGATTCTAATAGGAGCGAGAACCAACTGTGGTCCGAGCATGGGAGGGTTCTAGGTTGTGTCTCCTTTTCAGAGTCTGGTGCCTGATGATCTGGGGTGGAGCTGGGAAGGCGGTGCTGGCGCTGGGGAGTGGCCGCAAATGCAGATTGTCATTGGCAGAGAGGTTTGACTACTGCACATGAATGTGGTGTGCTTGGGTCATCCTGGACCTCCCCCTTATCCCCACCTCGTCTCCTACCCCCATGGAAGGATTGTCTTCCATGAAGCCAGTTCCTGGTACCTTAGAGGTTGGGGACTGCTGGTCTATGGGATAGTGGGTACAACTGAGGCAGGGGC